TGTACTCAAGCGGCTTGTCTTGTGGCCTGTGGGTCACGCTGTGCTTGGGCGGGAGCTTGGCCCCTGGGCCTGGGTGTGGGGGTGCTGAAAGAATACGTCGTCTTCTCCAGATCCTGGGAACCTGTATCCGATTACCTGTTCGGACACACACTGCAGGAGAGAAGATCTCATGGGGCAGGATCCCGGGAGGGCAGTGTGTCCACCCGGAGCAGAATCTGCTCCAGGTCCAATGAAGCGGGACAGGGCCCTGCCCCACCTAGAATTTTTCACTTCTGTGTTCATAAGAGGTCCAGGCATAGGCCCAGAGTCTGGAACCCCAGCTACTCCCACACAGCCCTGCATCGTAACACTACCAGCCCACTTCCTCTCCCACATCCACACAGGGCAAGCACAGGGCCTCGGGGCTGCAGGCACCCCAGGGTTTCAGTTCTTCAGGGGCTGAGGACCAGATGCACTGGGGGCTGGGATGTGGTCACACGGAGGGAGAGGCAGCCGAGGTCCAGCCAGCCTTTCCGGGGAGGAGCTACCGTTCCATGAGTCGTCTTCTCCAGTCCCAGGAGGTGGGTGACAGAGTCCCCGTTTTGCAGATATGGGGCCTGATGGGCCACAGCCACCACCCTTCATGGGCCACTTCATGGGGATCCTTGTCTGGACGTTGCCCACCGTCCAGGACTCTGCAGGAAACCGAAGAAGGGATATGTCCTTCTTGACAGCTGCCGTTGAGGCAGCCACATGTAAGGACCACTCACCTCTCCATTTCCTCAAAACCTTGAGTTTCGCAGGATTGGGTGGGGTGAACCCCAAGACCTGCTGTCCCTTCCTTGTTTTTGTACTGGGACCTGGCGCTTCTCAGAGAAGTGACTGTGGGGAATGGGATCTAGCTCCCCGTGCAGGACTCTGGGCAGGTCACGTCCTGGGCGAGATGGGGAGGGGGCCTCTGATGCTGCTATCTTGCCAGGGCTGGGGACCAGGGAGCTCCCGGGCTCTGTGCCCCAGTGAGTCCTCCCGCAGGGACCTCTGCCCTTCCTGGTGGCCCAGGGCTTCCTGTTGCTCCACCTTCTTCCTCAAGCCAGAGGCTCCAGGACATTCCCCAGGGCCCAGCTCGGGACAGAGCCAAGTGCAGGGAGATTCCTGCCAGGGCTTGCCTGTCCTAGCCCTCAGGAACAGGCCTGGCTTCCTGTGTCCCTGCAGAAAGCTCTCTCCCGCTTTGTTTCCCCAGGGATGGATGTGTTTCCGGGTGTTGCCTTGGAAACCACAAGGTACTTCCTGCTCCTCCTCTTGCTCTCACCTCTGCCTCCTCTGAGGAGTGGGGGGTGGAAAGGGAGCTGTGTGGCTTTTGCCCATCCAGGTGTGTACAGCGGGCAAAGAGAAACGAGGCTCGTGTGGAGCAGATGTTTGTAGGAACTTGGTGGGGCCCAGAGCCTCTGGGAAAGCCCACGTCTGGCTCCAGGCCCTTCGGCCACCCACTCTCGCTCACCTTGTTTTCAGTTCATCTCTGGTGGTCGCTTCACAATGATCTGGGGCTGGGGGCCGGCCCCAAGGGCACTTTAGGGGCAGAGGGAGCTAGTGGGCTCCTAAACTGGGCCCAGGAAGGGGTCATGGGCGAGCAGGGGTGTGGATGGGAGGAAGGGAGAAGCCATTCCTCTGGTCAGCTTGAAACCAGCCTAGCTGCGGTGTCAGGAATAAATCGAGGCCCACTGGTTCTGTTCACAGCTCTTCTGTGTCGTCAGGGGCAGCCTGGGAGGCAGGCTCTGGAATCCAGATGTCCTGGGTTCAAGTTCTGGTTCTACCACTCACCAGCAGGTAGCCCTGGGGAAGCTGTTTCGCCTTCCTAAACCTCTGTCCCTCAGTTACATTAACTGAGTTATAACTGAGTTATATCCAGCTTTTCACATCTTTCCCTGTTTGGACTACAAGCCATGTTCTGGAAAGGTCACAGGTGCCGGGATCCCTGGAGGCCGGGAGCTGCGGTCATCCTGAGCGTCAGGGGGCACCTGCTGTGTGCCAGAAACCCAGCTCTGGGCACTTTGCAGATAAGACAGTGTTTCTTTTCAGTAGATATTTGCGTACAAGACGGTTGTGGGCTTTGGGGATGCAGGTGGGAACAGGACAGCCACGGTCTCTGTTCTTTAGGAGCTTATAGCTGTGTGGGGTAAGTCCAAGCAATTAACTACGGGAAGCATTCCTTAATGCACCGCTGACAGGTGGAGGAGGGGCCCCAGCCTGTGGCCCCCAGGCTCTGCCGCCCGCATGAGGGATCACTGGGCTTGTGGGTTGGAGCCGGGGACAGGCAGCAGCCGCCTGGCCCTGGTGCCCACCTGGCGGCCTTCGTGCCCACCTGAGCTGCTGCTAGTATTATATTGACATCAAACGTAGCCTCGTTCTTCCTACTCCGGGCTGTGGAGGCTGGTTAGCAAGCTTCCCAGGCCAGCTGTTGGCTGGGGGAAGAGGAAGGGGACAGAAGCTTTTTCTCCCATGGAAACTGGCCTGCAGCCTGGGAACTGCTCTGAAATTGCCAGCTGGTGACAGTGAGTCCCAGCCTGGCCGGAGAAAGCCCATCGTGCAGGCCGTTTGTGGTTGACTTGTGGTCTGTGAGGCCCCCGCTCTGTGGACCAACAGGACGCCTTTCTTCTGCCCCCGAAAGGGGAAGGGAGTCCCATCGTGTACACCGGGACGCTGGCCGCTGTTCTCACAGCGCTGGGGACTTGCTGGATGTCACGCATGGAGTGAAAAGTCAGGGAACCAGGCTCTTAAGGGGCTTCTGTGTCCCCTGCCCTGTTCTAAGAACTTTCTGTGTGTTTTCTTTGATTTAATCTTCACAACGCATGAGGTGGGGACAGTTCTCTCCATTTTGCAAAGCAACGAGAGGCACAGAGAAGTGAAGCGACTGGCCCCGAGAGCCTGTGCAACTTCCCAAGCCACACAGCCATTAAGTGGGGAGCCCTCTTCCAGCCTATGCCTCTCGAGCTGTGGACACCATCACAGGCTGGTCCCCTGGTCAGCAGAATCCCAGACCATGAGCCCCAGAGCTGTCATAGAGCAAGTAAATGGCCTTGGGTGCGTATGTATCCTG